CCGTTATATTTACTACAAAGTACAATGCTGTAAAGGTCGAATGTATGTTTATATAGTTGTTAAAGATTTTGATTAACTCCGCCCCTTGGAACTAGAAATATCACTTCATCATTATACCATCATTGATATTTTTAAAAGTATAATGTGTTACGTACATTTTTTTACTTCTTATAGAGTTTAATATTCTTTGTTAAATTGCATAACTCTTTTATCACACTATAATAAAAATATTATATCTATATTTTATAATTTTATAATTAAAAATACTACTTATCTTGTAAAATTAATTCGTTCTGAATAGATAAACGTATTGTTTATATCAAGTTCACTGTAAATATATATATATGAATACATAAGACTGTATAAGAAAACAAGTGTCTTGCTTTGGCTATAATTTTATTTTTTTCATACGAAAAGTTGCATATTATAATATGCATTTGACCTTTAACTTCTCTCACCCAAATGTAAAATATGCTTATAAATTTTGATATTTTTTTACAAATTTATGACAGTCTAAAAACTTTAAAATCGCCATAATATTATTAAACATAATAGTAGAGTACACCGTGAATAAAAAACGTAGGAATATATGTACTAAAAACGATGTAAAAAATATTGAATACTGTGTATAAATATATAATATTATTTATTTCAAAATTTCTTGAAAACATTTAAAGTTATGCATTAAGTTGTATTAAGTATTTCATAAGGTATGTAATATTTCATAGCTATAACTATTTACTATCTCCTAGTATTTGTTTATTATAATAATTGGTCAATTAAGTAAAATATAAATAGTTATTATTTATTAAAAGTTTTTTTGTTGTTTTTATTCTGTATCATTATTGGTAGATGTTAAATTTTAACCAGAATCGATTAAAAACGAATTGAGTTGTGTTTAGTAAAATGTCAAGAAAAAGATAAGAAAAAAATCTCATAAACACTTGAAGGGTCATTTTTTTGTTTATGAATAAAAACTGTTATTGTGAAATGAGAATATTTCGAGATTATTTTTCTAGATTTTGAATTCAATTTGATTCACTAAATATCATATTAAACATATGAGGTAACATTTTGAAATCATCAAAATAATATATTTTGTAAAGCATTTATGATAAATAATTTTTTTTAGACATTTTATTTTAAATATTTTTTATAAATTTATTTTAATAATATTGTTTAACATATTCCTATTGATATTATTCAAAATAATAAAATCTATATCTAGTGTAGGTATATTTTTATGTTTTCACACTCTTTAATTTGAATTAAAACGATAAAATTATAATATATATTAATAATTATTATAAACATATTTTTGCAAGAAGTATATATATTATTAAACATGCGTATTTGTAATTTGAGAAGATATACAATTTTTAATGTATACAGTGTACACGTAATTTATATTATTATAATAATATTGAATGAAAGGTAAGTAAAATAATAATAGTAAATTAATTAAAATGTTTGATAAGATATTTTATAGCTTAACAAGTTTATTAGCTGGTAAAATTGCACTATTAATTATTACATTTTTTTTTTTTTTATATATATAATATATTATTTATTATATAATATGATATTAAAATAAATATGAAATTCTTATATATATTTTTATTATAATTTTTGAGAGCTGAGCTTTTGGTTTATTTTTCATTCAATAAATTGATATATATCTGATGTAAACTTTTCATCGAAATAAACAATTTTAATTTAACAAGGAAAAATAAGAAACAAATATAACCGTAAGTCTTTGAAAAATTCGATTGCAGACAATTAAAATTTTTACTAAATTATAGATTTAAATGGTGTTACTTTAACAATAAATTTTATAAGATGTATATTATTTAAAATATCTTATTTGAATACAATTATGTATAAATAGTAATAGCTATATATTATATGCGTATAATAAATTATTCATTTTAAGCTATATTCCTTATTGCTATGCTTAATTAAATAAAAGTTTAATACAATACAAAGACTATTTGATTATTTAAAATACGCTTATAGATGCTGTTTCTAAGGTTATTTTTCACACTATACAGTACACCTACATGTTTACACATACCATTCAAATTTCAACTAAATTAATAATATCTAGAAAACATTATATCGAAATATATTTTTTACTCGAGGATTTGTTTTACTGAGTAAAATTAACTTAGAAGCTAATATTAAAAGACATTTTAAAATAAAAACCACTTTAAATATAAATGGTAAACAAGGCCAATATAGAGAAAACTTAAGAGAAAATTAACTTACCTAAAATATTTAGTGGAATAAAAAAATGTAGATATAATAATGTAAACTTGTATATTTTTTTTTATTTCCATATAATCCATCGATACGTAGGGAAAAAAGTGTGAATACATATATTATGGCGATGCATGCAGTTTTTAATCTAACAAACTGAAAATCTATGATTAAAATTTAAAATTTATACCTATTAGTAAAATAAAAATGTAATGTTTAAATGAGAATGTTTTCGTAATTTATATAAGTATAACATATTCTCGATTGTACTTTGTATTAATATATCGTAATTTAACTTGTTTATCAAGTTGGCAGTGGCATTTAGGGCTAAAACTTTCTATAGTGTTTTACAACAACCTGATGGCAAATTATTAAAACGGAGTTTTAGCAAATTCATAGCAAAATATTGATCTATGATTTGAAATTGTAGCACCAAGTACTGGTGCCAAAATTAAAGACATTCATTTAACTTAATATACCTACATAATACTGTACATCGCTAAATATGAAATGTAACATTTAATTTACTTAAGTATACATCAGTATTATAGAAGAACATTTTCAAATAAAATCTACATTAGTTTATGGTTAACAAATTTAATATGATTGAACCAAATATGCTGAACTTGTAGTACATTTAATAAGGAGAAATTTGTTTGTAATAATACAAAAAATAAAAGATTACATTTTCGAGTAATTACATTATTATGTTTAAACATAATAAATAATAATACACTCCAAATAGTTATTTACATAGACGCTAGATGTTCCATATTATAATTTAAAAACAATTGCATTTCATGTATTATTACTGTAGTTACTTACTATTGTTTTTGTATAACATAGTAAAATGTTTAATATATACTTGAAATTATATTACTAACATAATAATGTGTTTAAATTATGTTTAAAAATATTTGGAATCAAAACACTCAAAAAGCCCGTTGATATACTTAAACTGGAAAACTTAAACGTACCTGATAACAAATTATTTATTTATATTTAAAAACAGGACGAGTCCGATTTACATGATATTTAATACAAATAAAGACTTTTTTTTAATAGATGCATAAATTGTGTATTTTTAATAGGTAAATCATAAATGATTCATCATGATAAAGCAAATATAATTGTATATGCATAGTATATACATTATAAAGTCGAATACGCCATACAAGAAATTTATTATTACTATTTTAAAGTTTTTATATGGATCATCTTAGATATTTTAAATTATTAAATTGTCAGATGATCTAAACATATATATTATAATTTATATGCTAATAAATTTAGAATATTCTAAAAAAAAAAAAAAAAAATATGATAAATATTAAGCTAATTAATAATTGCAATAAAATAATATTGTGTAAGTAGTTCCTCAAAGAACTTGAAACAAATGTTTTGCTTAATGAAAAATAACAACCTGAATTATAACATATGTTTAAGTTTTATTTTTAGTAAAATATATTTTTGAGCCATAGCATGATATATAATTTTAGAAGACATTTTAGTTATTTATTATTTATTTACAGATAATTAAATAATATTATACAAATTAATAACATCTATGTAAAATAATCTTCTAAGTCACACATTTTGGAATATTCATATGATATATACGAGTAAATATAACATAAACTTAACATTATAATGGTATACTATTTTTTTTTTTCATATATTTTTGTTGGTATTTATCGTACGCTGAAAATAAAAACGTACAAACTAAACAAACAATTTTTAAAGCGAGTTCTGTAGAGAAAACCATTTTTAGTAAATGAATTGAATATTTTTTATAATGCAGTCACGGATGAAGGAAATGAGAATAACAGCTTTAGGCAATTCATCTTCTATACTTTTTAGTTTTTATGTAGTGTTTTACATAAACATAATTAAATGACAAAACTAAAAAACTAATTACGTTTAATTTACTATAGAGAATGTATTTTTTTTGTTTAGCTTTTATTTCAACTATTAATTTGGATGTATATTTAACGAATTATTTTTATGATTACTATGCTAGAAACACACTTAATCAAATACTAATCTTAGAGTTATTACTATAATATGTTAATTACACAAAAACTCTGTGAATAAAAATAATAATTAATTTTAAAAGTTATACCTTCTAAATGGCTGCTACTGACTAGTGCAGTTATGGACGATTGATGAAAGTTTATGTGAGTTTTTTTAGGAAATTTACTAAGTAAAATATTCAATTAAACAAATTTATGTTAAATAATTGTAATAAAACAATTCAAAATCCTACATTTTTGATTTTCAGTATTTTATTTTGAGAACATTTCAGTACGATAGATAAACTATCCATTGAATGAAATAGTTTAATGTTTATCTAATAAAAATGAGAGTTTTTTAAATGTGTCACGTATTATAGTTATACAATACATATCTAAAGAATTAAATGTATGTTATAATAATATGTATATACATATACGATATTCATGAGTTCAAAAAAATGTCTTTATTCTATATGTATATCATAATATAGGTTTCTAATGTTATTTTTTCTTAGTAGTGTGTAGTTATTAATTCATTTGCAGTCATCATTAATGTGTTATTTTAATTCAAATACCTATGATATTAAATTATTTAAATGACAATATGTATATGTGATATATAATGTGATATATTGTATTATTTTATACACAATAATAATACACTCAACTAGATGACATATTATTATCATATTTTAACGGTTTCTAATTATTTTTTTTTCAACTCACCTAATATGCCGAGCCTGTAGTTTAACGTGACAACAACTAATTCTGCGTTGTTGGCCAACACTCGGCCATCGTATGGGTTTCCGGAATTCCACTCATACGACTCTCCATGTATGAAAACCAGTACGGGATACTTGCGGATAATTCTACTTCCTGAAACAGGTAATTAACAAATAAAAATTATTGTTATTTTTTTATTTTTATACCGTGAACAATATTTTTTTACTGATTGTAAAAGTAGCTTAACTCCCAGAGGAAAACTTAGCACGATATAGACTGCTGACATACGAAGTTTTGGTCCAACGAAAATGTTATCATTTTGAAATTTACTACAAAACTTGTGGTTTTACGATAATACTGGTAACAGCTAACCATCTATAGATATTTCAGACGGCGGATGTGTGAGTATTTATTATTTTTCAATTTTATCTCTGGCTCTTTGATGAAAATAAGCTAATCTTAAACTTAATATATATAGTTGTTTTTTTTTCTATAAAAAAATAACTCGTCTAAAACTTTACGTCTATATAATACAGGTTATATGTTTTATGTTATATATGTTTTATATATTTACAAATTCATAAACCGTATACGTATCCTCTCAAATATTCTTAGATCGAGCAAAGCCATATTATATTATATATATATCTACTCGCAGGTATATTCATACGTTGAAAAACATAATATGAATAATGGGATGAATAAGTTACAGGCGGCAGACCTGTGAGTTTTGAGATACGGAGACGTATTTTACGATGATGGGTTTTTTCTACTTATACGGCTGCTGTGTATACAGTGCACACTACGTCTAAGTAAGTCGAAGATGCTGAATATGAACTAGCTTTAAATGAATTCTACCCGAATACGACTCGGGCGTATCTCGAATAAACTCGTATAATATGTAAGATTTGAATATGAACACCCAAGACGAAGCCTTCATAAAAGCAAAATTACTCTTTATTTAGGTCAAGTAAAATATATGGAAAAAATCCAAATACATTAAAATACTATATTTTATGCCAATCAGTGGTATATGATTAGACTTGATATGTTAAGTTGTATGCTTAACGTAAATAAAATAGTATTTCTGGAATTCATTTGTATCAACGAAACACGTAAAATAACACGAGTAAAGTCTCATTAAAAATATTTGAGCGATTCCAATTACAAACTCATGTCAGATTTCAAAATTCTCTAGTATCTTATACTTTTAAATATTTATAGCTTTTATATATTTACAGGTGGTTATACTTTATTTTTCGTAAAGCTTTGACAGCATCATTTCAATAAATTATGAGTGCTAAACAAATTGATATTAACAAAACTACGAAAGCCAACTGCTATTAATAAATAGCAACTCTATTGCCTTTCTATTGCATCAAGTGTATACCTAGAAACTTTATTTTTCAATATCGTGTCAAACATAACTCGTATATACTCGTTGTGCACTTTTGCCTACTTTCAAAATTCAATATTGAAGTCATTGGAATAGTTTTCGAAACGTTCAATGACTTGTCCATTATTTATAGGCGTTCAACGAGGTCACGCGACATTAAGAAACTTTTGCCGTTTACGTTTTCAAACTTGTTATATATTATGTTTAAAAGGATTTGAAACGTTCAAGTAATAATATACTCACATACTTTATAAAAGTTTAAGTATAAATTTATAAAAAAAATAGTAAATTGTTACATACAAAAAAAAAATGCGAAATTACAATTATTAAAATCGATTTATATTAAACGTTATACATATATTAAACTTAATCCAAGCCATATATATATATATTGTAATATTAATACAACACAAAATTACACCGATATTAGGTCTATCGTATGCAAAACGCGGTATATTACCGTATTTCATAATGTAATGTTTAAGTCTACTTAAACTCGAGCTTAGATCAAATTCGAGAATCTCTTATCCTTCTCCCGCGCACCGTATTTTTAAGTGTGCGGGATTACTACTGGGCCGTTGGGCGTACTATACATTACATAAACATATTTATTATATCACATTGTATCATTACGAAGAATTATATTTATTTTATTGTTCATACACCGAAAACATCCGAAATACATGCAAAACAAAATTGTCCTTGATCTCAAAGTTGTGATTATAATATGACCACATACAATACAATGTAGATTATAGATACTTAGTAGTATGAGGTTTCGAATTTTTATTCGTCTTCGGTTTGATAGTAACCGGACGCTTTTGCATAACGTAATATTCTAACTCGTCTCCCCTCGTAGTGTTTATAATTTATATACATGTCATATATCTATTGTGTTTAGTAGTTGCATGTGTCCGGTTCCAGATGTACAAATTTACGGTGATGTAGTACGCACCAGTGGTAAGCACGCGACAAGGTCTACCGTTGAGGGTTGAGGAACCACCGACGAATAGGATTCCATGTCGGTATATAATATTTTACTAGGCAACGGAAAGTTACAAGTGTATTTATTATACAGGTATATAAACATTCATCTCGGACGATTTATTAATCAAGGGAAACGCTGGTAGATCGGTCGGCGTTTTCCGAATGCAGATGGGAAAATGTTCGGAGTAGAGGTGAGATTAAAACTTTAACCAAAACACACTCTTCGTGAATATAATATGTATATATATATATCTACAGTTTTGGGACGGGCTAGGCCTCGTGTCCATTTAGGATCGTGTTACGGGTGCGGCACAACAATAGAACATCTGTTGCCGTACACAGCATAACATTAGGTCTAAATTGCGGTAGTGGCGGCGGCGTGTGCCGCCTTAACCGCTGTGATCCAGTGTTTTGCGTTTTGTTTGGAAAATACTATACATAAAATACATTATACATGTATATATTTAATATGTATGTTATATATTATGCTGACGGATTAACATGATACTAAACTGTGAAGATGCGCCTCGTGGATATATTTAGCACACCGGCGCCAGCCGACGAAACTGTCGAGATTGACCTACGCGTGGAGTCGCGCCGGTTGCCGCGTGAGAGTGGGCGATCATCCTCTCGTCACAGTTCGTGTAATCCGTGCAAGGTGTCAGGATGGTGAGAATGAAATTCAGACGTAAACAACTCAAATTTTAAATGAACATTATGTCTTTTTATGACGCACAACAATAACATGTCGCATACGTTTAGAAATCGTACTGATGTTTCAACTTCAACAAAAACAACAATACTAATTATAATATAGTACTAAGTACAGCACGAGTTATTATTGTACGATTAGAACATAATATATTGAGATTTGAGAGTGATTTATACGAAAACGAATATTTCGATAATAATAATATCAACCAATGGGAAAAACACACACGTAAGACCACATACGATATTATTTTCGAATATAATTTTTTATTACATACGGTGAACTTAGAACAATAGTAATGACTAATAAAACATACATTAATTCGTATTCTATGCCTCGCTAAAAGAAATCTATGTGTGCAGCCGTGGGTGTGAAATAACGTTGCGACGTGATTACGGTTTTCCTGTTAACTTAAATTTCAAATGAATAATAAATACGTAATTTGCAATTGAAAAAAATGTAAAAGCTTTGAATTATATATTCAAAAATTCTACAACGATAACAAATTCGTGCATTACTATAACGGTGTAGATATACAGACTTTGAGTGATTAATGTGCGAATGATGATTATGATAACAAATTAATAATGATTATGAAAAATACACAAAATAAAAATATTTAAAAACATAGTATGACAATAAACAAAAAAAAAGTTACTCCAAATGTTTATGAAAGTTATTTTCAATATTAATATTTGTCGTATTATTATCGGTTTGCAGCAGATGATTTTTCATAAAATAAATACCAACATGATATAATATACATTTATGAATAAACGAATATAATATTATGAATTGGTTACGATTTATTTCATAATTATTCATCAGTGATATGTTACCGAGGTTTCTTTTTTTCTTTATCAACTTTATCGACATCCTCTTTTGAATATTCCTCACTTCTCTATTTTTTGGCGACGTCTTATCGACACTTGGAGCTGATTAATGGCTTCCAGAACATATCGCTGTCATTAGGAACCTTTTTCTCACTTTTCTATTGACAACACAATCTCGACATTAACGCGAAGTCTGAGTTTTATCGAAAACCACTCAAAAAGCTGTTAAAAAGTTACATTCTATTCATATCCAAACATGCGTCAATAACATCTTACAAACATTGAAACACTTCTACAAATTTAACAGACAACCATGTAAAATAGCTGATATTTCAGTTTTAAAAAATGCAATTTTATATCTTCCAGGAAAATAATGTGTTATTTACTTAAAATTTTCATAATTCAATATAATTAATGACTTATTGTTATAATTTATAAAGACAGCTCTATGTTCTCAAACACGGCTTAGAATAATGGCGTACTGTTTTCAGTTCCTTAACAGTAAAAAAATAAAAATAAAATAGAAGTTTTTAGACGTAATGTCGGCTACATAACACTAAACAAGAAGCAAAAAAATAAAATAATTGTTATTATACATTGTATAATGCAATAATAATTTTAAGTTGAAAATTCACGGTCATAAATACATATTAAAATAAAATATTATACGGAAGGGTACATGAGTAAGATAAAAACATAAAATATTATTAAAAAAAAAAAAAAATCGAACTGAAACTATTACGGTCTTGAAGTAACTGTATTTTTGAATAAGCCATACACGAAAATTAATAATACAAGTAGGTATAGTTCAATAGCCGATGTGTAAAATAACTTTTCAATATTCAAGTAGTTAAAAATAATATTATCTTTTGCTTAAATTTTCATATTAAAATAATGGTATTAGATAATGATTCGTGTTTTGTGCATACGAATTTGGGTGACGGGACTTTGCTTAATGACTCTTCAACGATCGATATCGTGCTATCTAATCGAATAATAATAATATATTTATACACATTGCAGAAGTCGTAGGTAATATTATTATTACCTATGTGTATTTTATAACAATTTTAACAAACATGCAATACGTTTTCTGTAACAATTACTTTAATAGATGCCTATTTTTTGTGTTTACTTGGCGGATTGTCAATGTGTATACCTAACTAGTGATTTTACTCATTAGATAGAAATATAGAATACATTTTAATTTCCTGCCTTGTATAAT